GTTTACTTAGTGATTAATACACTCTGCTTCTGTAATTGCTGTAAAAGAGGAAATCCACATTGTCTTACTCCAAATATGTAGCAGTCCAGGAATGTTTTAATATTTTCTCTGAATGTAGTCTGTGAAGGGGACTGGACTGCCTGGACTACCTGGATATAGGAAGGCCATGCTTCTGGGTCTCTGAAGAAAGTTCTTTTTTTTAAAAAAAACCCAAAACCAGTAAAACCAACTTAAATTAATCCACTTATTTTTATTTCTGTTTATAGTTATAAAGTATGCGTACGACTGTCCTGGTGGTATTAATTCGCTATCAACTGAATACTGGCTTGCCTCTTTGAGGTTGTTTCTTCCTAAGTATGGAGGATTCCCTGCTTTGATCCCATAGCACCATCTGGTGGTTGACCTGAAAAGCTGAACTTTTGAATTTCTAGTTTTCTAAGTATAAAAAAGGAAAAGACAGAAACAAAACCAAAAAACTGTTTATTAAAAACAAATATAGCCAGGCGCGGTGGCTCACGCCTGTAATCCCAGTACTTTGAGAGGCCGAGGCGGGCGGATCACGAGGTTAAGAGATCGAGACCATCCTGGCTAACATGGTCTGTACTAAAAATACAAAAAATTAGCCGGGCGTGGTGGCGCGTGCCTGTAGTCCCAGTTACTTGGGAGGCTGAGGCAGGAGAATGGCGTGAACCCGGGAGGCGGAGCTTGCAGTGAGGCGAGATGGTGCCACTGCACTCCAGCTTGGGCAACAAAGCGAGACTCCGTCTCACACACACACACACACACACAAACAAACAAACAAACAAAAAAATATATATAAAACTAGTAAAGAAGGGTCTGTTATCCTTTAAGAATAGTTGTAATCCTCTTGTTTGTGACTACCTAATCCTCTTGTTTATGACTACCTAATTCGACTACCTAATTCTAAATAAAAAAGACAGACTAATATATATCGCAGGTTCTTTTGAATCTTAGTGTAGTACTTGATACCCAGGGCTGGAAGTGTGAGCCCATCCTGCTACAGGTGGGATGAAAAAATCCAGACTTTCATCTGGTTCCCAACATGGAAAGCCAAGCTCAGGCCGTGGTAACAAAGTTACCACATCGCTGAAAAGGCACCCTCTTTTTTTGTGACTTGGCTCTTTTTATATATAGACATATATATATGTCTTTCTTCTTTCCATTTAGCTGAAAATTGGGCAATTCTTGGCCAAGCTTTTGGAATTGGTTCTAATCCTGGGAAATGGGCATATTTATATGTGATTCAAAGCCCACCTCTATCCTGTCCCATGACCAACCTAAAAAAAACCATTTCCTTAGAGCAACATAGCATGTCTATGAGTGGCAATAATGGAACCGTGAAAGTACGTGTGCTCCCTGGAGGTGGTGAGACTGGGCAGAACGTCAGCATGGGGTCAGTCTGTTTGTGTGCTGTTGCTTCTTGCCTGGAGACAGACAGACACCACTGTTCGTTCTTTTATTTTTGTCCAGTCTTCTCGAGCTGGGTGTGGTGGGGCATGCCTGTAGTCCCAGCTACTTGGGAGGCTGAAGCAGGAGGATCACTTGAGCCCAGGAGTTCAAGTCCAGTCTGAGCAACATAGTGAGACACCTGTCTCTATAACAAATAAAGTAATATGGTAGTAATAGGCTAATCCAAAGAAAAGCAGAAAATTATGTTGATAGCATCAGCCTATGAACAGGACCCAAACCTTAAAGCATCAGAATCAGAAAAGTTGAGATAAGTAAAAGATTCTAGAGGTACGCCAGAAGCAGTAGAGGCTGGTTGATGTGTTTGATTGATTCATTCATTTCTGTGTACCCACATGCCACCCTGTTCCTCAGAGAGTTTGAGCTTCTGTGACAGAGGAAGAATAGGATTTCTGTAAAACAAAAAGGGACTTCAAAGATGACTCAGGGCATTGTCTTGGCAGACAAGAACCTTGCCATAAAGTGACTTGTTCAAGGTCACATAAATAGTGGCATAATTGGAACTTGAACTCAGGTCTGAATCTTTTCATGGAGTTCTTTTAAATATCCTATTCTCTCATCTCCCTCACTGGAAGTACAATTTAGTTTTTTGTATTTATTTATTTATTCATTTATTTATACTTAAGTATCTTGCTTCTCTCATTGTCTTCCTCATCTTTATCTCTCAACATCTCCTCAATCCTAAGAAAAAACAAAATTGCAAAAATTGTTGTTTCCATTTTGATATGACTTTTATTTTGACTTTATTTTATTATTATTATTATTATTATTATTATTATTATTTTGAGATGGAGTTTCACTCTTGTCGCCCAGACTGGAGTGCAATGGCGCCATCTCGGCTCACTGCAACCTCTGCCTCCCAGGTTCAAGCGATTTTCCTGTCTCAGCCTCCCAAGTAACTGGTATTACAGGCACCTGCCACCATGCCCAGCCGTTTTGTTTTTTGTTTTTTGTATTTTTAGTAGAGGTGGGGTTTCACCATGTTGGCCAGGCTGGTCTTGAACTCCTGACCTCAAGTGATCCACCTGCCTCAGCCTCCCAAAGTGCTGGGATTATAGTCGTGAGCCACCACACCTGGCCTTGACTTCATTTTTGATTGGACTGAGAATTTACGAGATTAAAAACAAAAGGATTACCTTTCCTTTTTTTTAAAAAAAAAAAAAAAAGTATTTATTTGGTTAGGTTGCTAGCATATTAGTGTTAGGAGATATTTTATCATTTAAGCCATATTTGATATTATGGAAGCTCTCTCTCTCTCTTTCTTTCTTCCTTTCTTTCTTTTTTAGAGACAGGGTCTTGCAATGTTGCCTAGACTGGGGTGCAGTGGCTGTTTACAGGTGTGATCCACAGTACACTAGAGCCTGTAACCCCTGGGCTCAAGTGAACCTCTTTCCTCCCTCCTTTAAGCCTCCCAAGTATCTGGGACTAGTGAATTACCTTTTCTTATAATGTAACACAGCTTCTTTTGGCTCAACTGGAGGATACATCTATCTCCAAGGGTACTTTTTAGGTCTCGGGATATGAGGCCTGACTAGCAAAAAGGACACTATTTCCACAAATGACCAAAGAAATAATTTATATCACCTAGTGGCTATAAGAACATGTCCCACTGCAGGGACCCACGGCAGTTCTCACTTCAAACAACTCAAAGACAATTTCATACAGTGGAACTACTCATATGATTCAGAGAAATCCGTATTTATTCATTCAACAACTATATTTAGAGCACTTTCTATCTGTTGGTCACTATGTAAAGCTACTGTGGAGAAAAATATAGGAACAATATAAAATGGCAGTCTAAAGATAGACCAAATATTTTCCTTTGGTGGGAAAGATATAAATTTATAGATATTCTTAACTGGGTTTCAAAACTGGAATTAGCTCCTAAGTCTATTTCAGGATCCAATTTGTACTTTAAAGGGGCAACTTTATAAGAATGAAGATTTGACACCGTAGCCTTGTTTGATTTAGTAATACCACCACACCACCATCACACACACACACACACACACACACACACACACACACACCCCTTTCAGAAGTGTTCAGACAAAATTTTTAAGTAGAAGTCAAATTAGTTTTGGAATGAGAATATCTGAGATTCCTTGAGATGTTTATTAACATAAGGCTAAGAAACACTGTTATAGGTTCTGTTATAACTTACTGTTATCAACTCTACAAATTCTATTAGATGTGAATGAATTACCTTTTATTTCAGATAAATACGAATTTTTTCCAAGACAATGCAAAGCATAAAATCATGCTTCCAAGTTAGCATAGTTAAACCAGTCCGTAAAGACAGCTGTCTCTCCTCTCCTCAGATATCCCTTTTAGTAATGTGTTCCAGGTTTGTTTTCAAAATGCTGAGACCCAAGATACTTTCCCTGGTATTTAATCTGATTCTCCATGCACTCCTTTAAGCCCATTGCCTCTCCCCTGCTTTCCTATTCTCAGAGAATAGCTGACAATTTTTACAACACTCTTGTGTATATTAAACTGTTATTGGTCTTTTCCTCATCTGTCAATTCTTCAGGTTATCCCAGTGTTCCTTTGTAAAACTTCATTGTGAGACTTGTTGCCTCTGTCTTTAAGCCATCCTTAGAACTCTTTCTAGGTCATCGTTAGGAAACTTCAATCATTATATCTTCATATTGCAAGGCCATATTCTCACCAAGGCAGGAATGATGTTACATATGGTAGAGAGTTTAATTTACAGTACCTAACCACAGGCTCCTCTTTTCAGTGGCAGCAGCAGATTCGCTTACCCATTTATGATAGTCGGATGCCTGCCAGCGCCCCGACTTGTTTATTTTTGTGTGAAAACTAGCGCGTTCCCGGTGACTGTGTTTCAGAAAAAGTATCTAATATAAACTCTTTTATCTTCTGGTAATGACACCTTCACCCAATGCTGATTTTGATGCTTATTGAAGATAGTTCTTTAGTGGAACTTCAAAGACGGGGATTTTTCAGTGCTTTGTAGTAGCAATGACAGGGAAAAGGGGTGGCGGCAGGGGAGGAGGTTGGTATTCCAAAGCCCCTATCTTTACCAACAGCTCATTCCCCACTTTTGGAAGCGATTTGGAAAGTCATATTTTTTCAATCTTCCAAAACGTACCATGCAAAGAGGACAAAGATGAAACCTCAAACTTCGCCCTGTGTAGATTACTGCCCCAAGCATCATTTACATTGAGTTCAAGAGCTAGCAGTTAAACATTAGTCACATTATTAGTCCAATCAGTGTACTTTTGTGAAAATGTGGCCCCCAAATCCCTGCCTTGAGCCCCCAATTTGTAAGTGTTGGATATATTTTGATGTAAAATGTGAATGTTTCTTCTCTTTGATTCATGTGAAATGTGAAGTATTCTTTATACTGTTTCATGGCTGCAGAGAACTTGTAGTCCTGCTCCCTTTTATTCAATTATCAGTTAATGGTTTTGAAGTATTTTGATTTTATGTAATCTTCTCTTTCTAAAAATTTATTATAATATTGTTTTTTGTATGTCCTCTTGCAGCCTGTCACATATTGGAATGCCACAATGGAATGGCCCAAGACGTCATAAATACCATAGGGCAGGCTTTTGAACTCCGGTTTAAACAGTACTTGAAAAATCCTTCTTTAGATACGTCTTGTGAAAGGTCAGCCAAGAGTTTTATAATAATTTGACTATATATATATATGTGTGCAGTTTTCTGTATATATTTATTTGTGTGTGTATATAACATTCATGTGGCATTTTAAAATGAACTAATTAGTAATTTTTTTCTTACAAATAGACACAGTCTCAGTACAAAATAATATTTTCCTTCCATTCATATTTATCCAGTTATATCCTCTTGCTTTATAACAAGATCAAAAGAGTAGATCCCTTTTCACTAAAAGTAAGAAGAGATTATCTCTGTTATTCTAGCACTATAAAGAGCTTTGAATTAATTAATTGAAATCAAAATAATAAACATCAATAAACTTCTTAGATTTGATTCAACCCCAGATCCTTTGCATATCAGTTAAAAAAAAAAAACAGCAAGAACAAAGAACAAAATAAGAATTAAATGTCTCGTGTAGGAATTCCTGTCAGTTGGTTTGCAACGTAAATAGATAGGCTCCAGCTAAACTGTGGTTGGAGTGGAACATGATGGGACCCAAGAATTTGGTCGTTCTAAGGCACAGAAAGTCTGCAATGAAAGCTGAACCCTTTCAGGCCTGTCAGACTCCACCAAGTGTGGAATGCAGTGATACCTCTGGCTCACACAATTCATGCCGGAGAAACAAAACTCTTAGGTACTTTAAAATGCATTTTCCTCTGGTTTGTCACTTTGTGTATCAACAAATACTCAGTTTGGAGATCTCCTTTTATGATGTAGTCTAGGGTAGCAAAGGAGAGGGGGTTACCAGGAGGCTTTGATGCTGAATTTTTCCCAGGATAGCACTTCTGTCTTAGTGCTATCATTTTATTGGCATGTAATGAACCCAACAAAACTGTGTGAGTTGTCAGTTGAATCAGTTCAATCCAAATAGACTTGATTTATTCTTTTTTTTTTTTTTTTTTTGTAAGAAACTATCCCTGATTCCAATTTGGAAGAAAAGTCTGTTTGTTTGTTTGTCTTGCCCTGTTTCAATTTTTAAAACAATTCCCTGTTTATATAAATCTACCCACTTACCACATATGGTTCTAATATTTCTTTATTAATCCCATATACCCCTCCAGTTCTGTGCAGACAAGATAGCTGGCCATAGCTCTCTTATTTTTTTTTTTTTTCATCTTGGATTAATAAACTGGGACAGGCCCTGTACCCAAAGAACAATATTTAAATTTTATGTGGGCAAAACATTTCCAAAATGGAACAATCAAAGTGTGCTGGAGATACTCAAGAACACTTTGTATTTTTATAATCTTATGACAAAAATGTCTTACATTTAGGGAGTTCATATATTGTTATTATCATTGTTTTTATCACTGGAGGAGACACAGAAGCATCCCTTTGGCACTTTCTATTGGCTTACCCCATTTTGTCTACAGAAAGCTAAACAACTCAGCCATCTGACGGCTTCCATCCAGATGTTTAACATCACTGAAGCACGGCTATAAACTGAAAACATGAATGCAAAGTTTTTCGGGATGATTTGCTTGGTTCTGATCCCCTTGCATCCCTTACAGTATTTGAATTTTCGCTCCGCCTTTTGAGGATTCTTTTTTCCTTCGCAGTGAGGAGGTGCGTATTGATAGCCATGCCGAGGAGAGCGAAGATCATGAATATTACAATGAAATTCCAGGGAAGCAGCCACCAGCCGGTGGTGTTTCCGATATGCGGATCAAAGTTCAAGCCACGGAACAAATGGCTTACTGCCCCATACGGTGTGAAAAGTTGTGCTATTTGGTATGTAATGTTTTATTGTTACTGGACCCAGCAGTGCAATTCTGCCCTGATCACTAGAGCCTTTACTTTGAGGATTTCCAAATGCTAGTTTAGAGAAAGTCCTGTCTTCCTCAAATACAGAGCTGGAGAGTGAATAACTGCCAGAGGCTGCACTAGATCATTTTTACTCCTAATCCCCCAATTGTAGCCTCAGCAGATGATCTCATATCTCGCTTCACTGGAAGACTGAGGCGATCCAACATGTTATCCTCAGCTTCACCCCTCCACAGCTCTAAGTCTGCCCATGTTCTCCTTGCTTCTCTTCCTTAGCAACTATCTCCAAAGCTAATCTTTTCCCTGTGCTTCTCATCCAATCCTCTCCTGCCAACTCTGTGTCCTAGTTCTGTCCAGTAACCTCTGTCTCAGTCTTCGCTCTTTCTCTATTGGTTCCTTCTGCCTGCAAAAAACTTGGACTCCCTCAACCCAACCTAATAATGTTCCACCTCCTTGTCATCTTCCTTTCACCCACGAACTTCTAGAAAGCATCGTCCCTGTCTTTGTGTTAACATGTGTACTATACTGGAAGAGCTGAGCTCGGCTTGACAACTTGATGGAAGTTACTTTTACAATGGTCACCAGTGGTTTAATTGCTAAATCTATTCGTCAGTATTCTGCGTCTGTTTTATAATGTTTGATGCCTCTTCTCTGTTGTTGTTTTTGTTTTTATAATTTCAACTTTTATTTTATTTTATTTCAGTTTTAGTTTTTTTTTATTTCCACCTTTTATTTTAGGCTCAAGGGGTCCATGTGCAGGTTTGTTAACAAGGGTAAATTGTTTGTCATGGGGGTTTGGCATACAGATAATTTTGTCACCCAGCATAATACCTGGTAGGTAGTTTTTAAATCCTCACCCTTCTCCCATCCTTCACCCTCACATAGGTGAAGGTGACATTTGCGTCCATGGGTACTAAATTCAATCTTTATTTTAGATTCGGGGAGTATGTGTGCACATTTGTTACATCAGTATATCGCACGATGCTGAGGTTTGAGATACAAATGATCCCATCACCCAGGTAGTGAGCATAGTAACAGATAGCTTTTCAGCCTTTGCCCCCCTCTTTCCCTCCCCCTTTTAGTGGTCCCCAGGGTCAATTGTTGCCATCTTTATGTCCATTAGTACCCAATATTTAGCTCCTACTTATAAGTGAGAACATGTGGCATTTGGTTTTCTGTTCCTGTGTCAATTCACCTAGGATAATGGCCTCCAGCAGCATCCATGTTGTTGCAAAGGACATGACTTTATTCTTTTTTTGTGGCTGTCTGCATAGTATTCCATGGTGTATATGTACCACATTTTCTTTGTCCAATCCACCATTGATGGGCACCTAGATTGATTCCATGTCTTTGCTATTGTGAATAGTGCTGCGATGAACATACACATGCATATGTCTTTTTGATAGAACAATTTATTTTCCTTTGGGTGTATACCCAGTAGTTAGGATTGCTAGGTCAAATGGCAGTGCTGTTTTAAGTTCTTTGAGAACTCTCCAAACTGCTTTTCACAGTGACTGGACTAGTTTACATTCCTACCAACAGTGTATGAGCATTCCCCTTTCTCTGCAGCCTCGCCAGCATCTGTATTTTTGACTTTTTAATGATCGCCATTCTGACTGGTGTGAGATGGTATCTCATTGTGGTTTTGATTTGCACTTTTCTGATGATTAGTGATGTTGAGCATCTTTTCCTATGTTTGTTGGCTGCTTGTATGTATTCTCTTGAGAAATGTCTGTTCATGAAATTTGCCCACTTTTTAGTGGGGTTGTTTTATGCTTGTTGGATTAAGTTTCTTATAGATTCTACATATTAGACCTATTTGGATGCACAGTGTTTGTGAATATTTTCTCCTATTCTGTAGATTGTCTGTTTACTCTGTTGATAGTTTCTTTTGCTGTGCTTAGAAGCTCTTTAGTTAGGTCCCACTTGTCCATTTTTATTTTTGTTGCAATTGTTTTTGAGGATGTAGTCACAAATTCTTTCTGAAGGCTGATGTCCAGAATAGATTTCCTAAGTTTACTTCTAGGATTCTTACAATTCTGAGGTCTTAGGTTTATATATTTAATACATCTTGTATATGGTGAAAAGTAACGGCCCAGTTTCGTTCTTTTGCATATGGCTAACCAGCTATCCCAGCACCACTTATTGAATAGGGAGTATTTTCCCCATTGCTTATTTTTGTCAAAGATCAAATGGCTGCAGGTGTGCACCTTTATTTCTGGGTTCTCTATTCTGTTCCATTAGTCTACGTGTGTGGTTTTGTGCCAGTACCATGCTGTTTTGGTTACTGTAGGCTTATAGTGTAGTTTGAAGTCAGATAATGTGATGCCTCTGGCTTTGTTCTTTTTGCTTAGGATTGCTTTGGCTATTTGAGCTCATTTTTTGGTTCCATATGAACCTTCATTTTCTGGGGGAAATGATGTTGGTGTTTTATTGGAATAGCACTGGATCTGTAGATGGCTTTGGCTAGTATGGCCATTTTTATTATATTGATTCTTCCAATCCATAAGCATGGAATGCTTTTTCATTTGTGTCATCTGTGATTTCTTTCAGCAGTGTTTTCTTTTTCTCCTTGTAGAGACTTTTAACCTCCTTAGTTAGATGTATTCCTAGGTATTTTATTTTATTATATTTTGGTGGCTATTGTAAGTCAAATTGTGCTCTTCATTTGGCTCTCAGTTTGAATGTTATTGGTGTATAGAAATGCTACTGATTTTTGTACATTGCTTTTGTGTCCCAAAACTTTATTGAAGTTTATCACTTCTGGGAGCCTTTTGGCAGAGTCTAGTGTTTTCTAGGTATAGAATCATATAGTCAGTGAAGAAAAATAGACTTATTCTTTTCCTATTTGTATGTTTTTTATCTCTTTCTCTTGCCTGATTGCTATGTCTAAGACTTCCACCTCTTAATTTTTTTATTTTTTATTTTTATTTTATTTATTTATTTATTTATTTATTTTTTGAGATAGAGTCTCACTCTGTCACCCAGGCTGGAGTGCAGTGGCGTGATCTCGGCTCACTGCAACCTTTGCCTCCTGGGTTCAAGTGATTCTCCTGCCTCAGCCTCCCAAGGAGCTGGGATTATAGATGCATGCCACCATGTCCAGCTAATGTTTGTATTTTTAGTAGAGACAGGGTTTCGCCATGTTGGCCAGGCTGGTCTCAAACTCCTGACCTCAGGTAATCTGCCTGCCTCGGCCTCCCAAAATTGCTGAGATTACAAGTGTGAGCCACCACACCTGGCCCCACCTCTTATTTTTTGAGACCTCTTCTGTAAGCTTCCAAAACATTTCCACCTTATCATTCTCTTTCTGCTTCTCTAGTCGCTGCTGTCCTTTCATTTTTTCACATTTTATTATGAGTATTTTTAAACGTATAGACTATTTGAAAGAATTATGCAGTGAACACTCACAAACTCACCATCTCAGTTCTACAATTAACATTTTTTTATATTTGCTTTATTACATATATAGCTGATTATCATCCATTGATCCATCTTATTTTTGATATGTTTCAAAGTAAGTCGCACCTTTTTACGTTATCATTTATTTCATCTCCTCCAGTAAAAACACAAGCCCTGCCATACCACCACATTAGCACTCTCCCAGGCTCTACCCTGGGCGTTTATCTTGCTTCTGGCAGGCCACCTGTATACACACTTCCTCTAACTTCTCTGTCTTTGGCTCTTATGTATCTCTGTAGCTGTAATGCCGTACTGCACTACATTGCTTACCTATATCAAGGTTGAACTCAGCATTTTCTCCCTGACTCCAAACTTGATTCCTCTACTGATTTACTCGTGTTTATTAATGGCACTGACAATCTTTCATTAATCTACAATCTTCTGTTGTTCTCACACTTTGGGCCCCATATCAGTTCAGTCTTCAAGACCTAGGATTCTACCATGAAAATATGTTTTGAGTCTATCCAAACTTTTCCACTTCTACTGCCTCTTTCTAAGTACCGGTCCTCACTTGCCTAGATGATTCTGAAAGACCCTTTCCTGACTCTAATCTCATTCCCTCAAACCCTCCTGCACAGTGCTGCCAAACTAATCTTTCCAAAGACACTGCCCATCTCAAAGGCATCAAGCGGATCCCTCCCTCCAGTGTATTGCTGATGAGATTGTATGTACAGGGATGATTGAAGCTCTCTGGATGAGATTTTCAAGGGTGAGACGTGAGCCTGGCACAAACCTGAGTAGAGTAGAGATCCAGTCTACCAATTCAAAGTTAGATAGAGGTTGGCTACATGGCCAATGTTTATAGCAATGTCCTGAAAATCACTTTCTGGCTGAGACTTGGATTGAGTTCTGGAATGCGACTTCTCAAGCAGAAGCAATAACCCTCAGGACACAGGACACTGGTAGCCTTTAGAATCCCGCAGCCCAATCAGAACCAACTCTGCAGCTCCAAGGTGATGAACTATGAAAAGTGTACACTGTTCACCCAAAATATCAGTTTACTTTTCTTACTTGTCAAACATTTCCTGTGTCAGAAAGTAAAGTCTGCTATATTCTTCTGGGAGTATTATTAATTTTTTCTTTTAAGTTTATGAATGTGTACTATGTTTGTAAATGTTTCATAATTTGTTGTTCATGCAGCCTGGAAACTCCAAGTGCAGCAGTGTATATGAGAACTGTTTAGAACAAAGCAGGGCAATAGGTATGTACAATGCCCTTCTCCATCTGCCACCCTCCTTATTCCTTGTAAGTCCTATGGACATGTGTGGCCCTTGCTCTTAAATATTTCATTGAAAAGTCAGGTATCTACCACTAAACACACAATCCTTTGGCTGTAGGCTTCTCAGAGAGGCCCAGAATGTTGCATATGTGTCACCAGGGAGGTTCATGGTTCTCCCTTGCTCTTGTGCGATCTGCCATGCTGATGGTTTTGCTTTATGGAGTCTTTTACTGCCTTGACATCATGAAAGCTCTCTCTCTGGAAAGGTGCTTTCTCTGCTCGAAACCCAAGGGAGTTCTACTTCAAAGATCAGGAGTAAGCTAATGTGAAAATTGATGCCTGTCAGATCCTTTAGGATTAAGATAAAACCTTTATTCTGGCATGGTGCAGGGAACGAAAGGATGTCTGAAATGTGAGAGTCTCAATTAGGAGCTTGTCCACCCCATATTTGCCAGAGTATTAAATGTTTTATTACTGCATGTGATCATTGATGTTGGACAAAACATTTCCACAGCATCAACTATCAGATTGGAAATATATTTTAATTAAAACAAATTATACTGTGAGTTAGTCATTTTAATTCCTATTAGTTGTTGATCATATTTATTTCTTCAGGAAGGAAAGTTTTACAGTTTTAGAGGGAGAGATGACTGAACTGTGTAAATAATGCAGTGGAGAATAGAGATGGATAACCATATTTAAGAACTCAAACTAAATTAGCAGGTACTTGCCATCTACAAGACAGTCACTTCCAAGGATACTTTTTTATTTCTTATGGAATTACACCAATGTAATATATTAATTTTATTATTTTTATATCATGAAGGATATATGAAGATTTATTCTTTCTGGTATAGGTATGATTACCACCTTCCTCTATCTTGTAAACAGAGTAGTGAACTAAGGCAGCATTTTATTTTATTTTATTTTATTTTATCTTTATTTATTTATTTTTTTGAGACAGAGTCTCACTCTGTGGCTCAGGCTGGAGTGCAATGGCGCAATCTCAGCTCACTGCAACCTCAGCCTCCTGGGTTCAAGCAATTCTTCTGCCTCGGCCTCCTGAGTAGCTGAGATTACAGGCACCCGCCACCATGCCCAGCTAATTTTTGTATTTTTAGTAGAAATGGGGTTTCGCCATGTTGGTCAGCCTGGTTTCAAACTCCTGACCTCAAGTGATCCGCCTCCTTTGGCCTCCCAAAGTGCTGGGATCACAGGCGTGAGCCACCATGCCAGGGCTAAGGCAGTATTTTAAGTTCTGTAAAAGCATGCCTTCTTATGATAGAAATTAAAATTCCATGCCATTCTTTAAAGTTATTTAAAATTCCAAACCAATCTTTAATAACATTACTAAACAAATTAAATTAATGGTAAGTATGAATCTCTTAAAAGTTACGCTCTCTGGCAGCCATACTTCCTTCCTCTCTCCTTTCCCTCATCCTGGAGGTTCTTAACCTAAGGATTTAATAGTCAGGAATGTATCACGCATGCCTTGTGGTATTGCAACCATGTTCTCCCCTGTACTGAAGCTCACTTGGAAATACCTCCATGTCCTATTTTATCTCATGCATATATTCTTAATTTATTCAACTCTTTATTTAATGACTACTTATTGAGGACTTCCCATGGGTCAGGCACTGTGCTAGGTGCTAGAGCTAGAGACACAACTGGCACTCTTGTAGTTTGCAGTTTAGCCAGGAAGACACACCTTAAACAAATGCCTACAAGTATGATGAGTGCTTCAAAGCCCAAGATGCTATGGGAAGAAATAATGGGAAAACCTAACTTAATTTGGGGGGCTGTAGAGGCTCTCTCTAAGGAAGTGACAATCAAACCAAGGCCTGAAGGATGAGTGGGAATTATCCAGGCACAGAGAGGGAGGTAGGAAGCAAGTAGGAAAGGGACATAGGGAGAGAGGAAGAGAGAGCAGGGGAAAGAGAGAGAGAGAGAGAAAAAAAAGTAAATGGACACCAGAACTAAGCATGCCAAGACCAGTTCCCAGATCACTGGGACAGAGAGAGAGCTCAGGAGTAAAGAGAGAAGGATGAGTGTCGAACCTACAGCAGTGTCCTAAGGATCTTCATAATGTTCAGTCCTGCCCAAACACCTCCCTTCCCAGCTTGTTTCCCTCCTCTCCATTAAATAGTCAGCATAGCCACATCCGTCCTGTCCTCAATAACCCAGCTTCTGAAGGGAACTCACGAATGAAAGTCTAGAAATGGACATTTCTAGAATTATGTTGAATGGGCTAAATCACAGTACTACCACAAGAAAAAGGGGACATGGCTTCCCTTCTTTTTTCCCCCAAGAGTTCTCAACTTGAATAATTAAAAAAAAATTATTAAAACACCCATCTCCAAAAACATAAATTTATGAAGGAATTAATGGATATGAAAGTATTTCCACGTTTATTCAAGATTTTTCTTTTTGTAAGTGTAGTCTTGCCATATAATTTAATTTATTGTTTCAGATTATCTTAGTTTTTTTCTTCTTTATACCAACAAACAATATAACCCCTTATTCTTATTTGCATATATATTTCCCTAAGCCACTATGAGAAGATCCAAACACATTAACAAACTTTAATAAAAGTTTGTTTGGAGCCTGGGATATATTTTTATAGAATTAATCCTAGCCATGATGGTTGACTCTTAGACAAGTGTACTATATTCTACTATTCTGGTTTGCCTATATTGAAGCTTAAATGTATATTTTGTAGTGACAGATAAAACAATAGAAAGTTCTATTGTATACTACTTTTCTTAATGGTGGCTCTAAGATAATGATTGTAACTGGGAACTTCAGAATCTTGAGGAGGTGAGATGGTGTTTGCAGTTAAGAGAAGTCCCTCACCTAGATACTTTGCTCCCCCGTAAATCACTGAATTACAACATCGTTTCCATAAAAAAGCCACTTCTGAGTTCCAGTGAGGAACCAGAATGCTCAGAGGCTATCTCTCCAAACCTTAACTAGTAAAACCATGGTGGGATAGAAGGACTCAATCCATGTCCCAGTGGCCATGACATGTAAGGTCTCCCTCCTACTATGGCAGGAGGGATTTTCCTACTACAGTGTCATTTTATCCCTAGGCACCTATAAATCAGGTAATCCTACCTTGAGACCTGTCTGTGATTACTTGGGCATGTTTTTTTGTTTGTTTGTTTTTTGTTTTCTTTTTAGACGGAATTCCCCTGTTGTCGCCCAGGCTGGAGTGCAATGGCTCCATCTCAGCTCACTGCAACCTCTGCCTCCCGGGTTCAAGCGATTCTCGTGCCTCAGCCTCCTGAGTAGCTGGGATTACAGGCATGCGCCACCATGCCCGGCTAATTTTGTGTTTTTAGTAGAGATGGGGTGTCTCCATGTTGGTCAGGTTGGTCTCGAACTCCCAACCTCAGGTGATCCGCCCACCTTGGCCTCCCAAAGTGCTGGGATTACAGGCGTGACCCACTGCACTTGGCCTACTTGGGCATGTGTTTTTAAAGTAATCCGAAATTCTTTACCAATGAGTAATTTAAGAACAGTTGCCAGAATAGCAAATATGTAGTTTTTGTGGCTTTTCCCAGAGATTCATATATAGGCATTTGAGAGATACCTATAGAAAAATTTTCAGTAACCTCCCAAGAGATTCATTTATTCAAATATTGACTTCAAACGTGAATTCCAGTATATTATAAATACTGCAGTAGCCTCTGGTTGTTGAAAGAGTTAATTCTGTGTATCACTAGACATAGAAAAGATCCTTATCCTTCATACTTGTGGAAAAAATCCCTCATGGAAAACAATAATTAGCAAAATAGAATAATGTTTCCCTGACCTTCCAGTTAAAATTGAAATGTTGATATTTTTAATCAAAAAGACATTAAGTTCCCACAAACCCTAAGGGCTTACACTTTAAAATGTTGTTACTTACAGTGTATACACTTTGTATATATTTATTTTCCTCTACCTTTGTATATATTTAGGAAAGTTGGATAGGGTCTTGGAGTAACACTTGGCACAAAGAACTTTTGGAAAGCATACTAGCTGGCACGTGTGTCTAAGCCCTCGTGAACCATACACTTCAGCCTAGAATGATTTTAAATTTGGGTCTGGGGTGGGCTTTTTTTTTTTTTTAAATTTAAGGCAACATTACCAACTTAAATATGATGGCACATATGAAAAAGAAACGGATGGCAGTTTCTTTCTTTTTTTTTTCAGTACGCTATTGTGCACTTACAGGTGGCAGTTTTCAAGAGAGGCTGGACATAAACACTGATGCTTTTGGTGTCATCCTACGGGATGGTACAATTGATGTGGTTAGCTCAGGCTAACGCTTTGTGAGGGGCAGATGCGTTATCACCCTGTGCTATGGGTTGATCCAGAGTCTTCAAAACGTGATGGGGTTAAATATGCCAACAAAGGAAGATTGGATAGACATGCAGTCATTTGTCCAGTTAGCTGATAAACATTTTTCTTTTGAGCACGTGCTTCATCCCAAGCACTGAAGGTGCAGAAGATACACAGACTAGATGGGTTCTAGTCTTTCCTCAAGGACACGAGGAATTTGCAGTCTGAAGGGGAAGACAGAAGTAAACAGATTCTTGCAGTATATCATGAAGTGGCACCATTCCCGACCTTGGGGAGGGAAGGATTCAGGGGAAGGCTTCCTGAAAAAGATGGTTTCAGAGCAGAATCTTAAAGGACAAATAAGAATTAGGTAAAGAAAAGGAGGGGGAGGATATTGCAGTAAGAGATAAGCATCATGTATGGAGGCCCAGCATCAATGACTAAATAATAACTGAGCATCCGTGGGAACTATTTATCGAATACCTGCTATAAGGCAGGCACTATGCTCAGTGTCTCACCAACATTATTTCACTTAGTCCTCACAACAGTATTTTAAGCCAGGCACCCACACTTTACAGATATGAAAACTGAGTCTTAGAGAGGTTAATTAACTCATCCCAGACCACTCAGATAGTAAGAGATACCACAGGGATTTGAACTCAGGTCCATATGAAATTTAAAAGCTGACCTCTAGCCAGGCCCGGTAGCTCACACCTGTAATTGCAGTGACTCTGGAGGCTGAGGCGGGAGGATCACTTTAACCTAGGAGTTCGACGCTGCAGTAAGCTGTGATTGCACCAATACACTGAAGCCTGGGTGACAGGGTGAGATGTTAACTTAAAAAAAAAAAAAAAAAACTGACTTAGCCACTTTCAAGCACTTTAGATTTTATTTCACTTTCAGTAAATTTTTATGAACAGGCATTCCTACATAAATGGTTATTTAATAATGTATAAGTTGTATACACATGTGCTAATATATTAATATGCATATATCATAAAACACACAAATATAGGAAAATTTAAAGTTAGAGTAGATGATAAATGAACATTTTTTACAAAGACTTGCTAATTACAACAGCTGGATGCTATCATTAGATAATATCTCAAGGTCTAGTATGCATTTAGAGCATTTATTGAAAAAGAAAATAGATTTAATTGCTGATAATTTGAACATTTGAGGTGCCAAAGCTCTGATCTGATTAGATCATTCTTGTTTATAAGCTCATAATGCAGCTAAGGAGGAGCTTGTACTAAAAGAATTATCCTTAATCCTTCATTTCTTTGCAGTAATTTTTTAGCCGCTTTCCATTTGTAAAAGCAAGTTTAGTTTAAACTAGATAATATAAATTATAAATCCACTTAAGCAAATGGAAACTGTCTTATATGTGCAAAATGTACAAAACAAATGAGGCACCCTGTCAACTCCTCCCTTTGTAGAAACCTCACTCTTGTTTTAGGATACCCCACATACAGAGCATGGCACATTTCAAGATGACATGTCACAGCTGACAGACAAGGAGTGAAGGAGAAGCAGGTGGTAAGACTGCAGACTTCTGACTGGGCTTCTCCTGCTTGGTGTATTCTTAGTTTCCATCTTGGTGTATTCTTAGTTTCCATACTATGAGTTACAAGTATCATAGCATTATTCACCCTGATGTGAAATTCAGTATGTTGGTCCTTGGACCACACTGAAAAGGTTTAATGACTAAAGCAATAGAAGGACTAATGTTGTCTTTCATTATGGCAAAGGAATGTCACTAGTTCAGGTGCAGCCTCATGATGACCCTGAGCACAGCTGGCTAGCTATATGGCTGGCACATATTCTGTTTAACTAAATAATAGAATAGAACTTAAATAATAGAATGAATTACTCACATGATACGGACTTTGGAGGTTGTATTCATCTGGTCTTATGCTGCTAATAAAGACATACCCAAGACTGGGTAATTTATAAAGGAAAGAGGTTTAATGGACTCACAGTTCCACATGGCTGCAGAGGCCTCACAGTCATGGCAGAAGGCAAAGGAGAAGCAAAGGCACATCTTACATGGCAGCATGCAAAAGATCTTGTGCAGGAGAACTCCCATTTGTAAAACCATCAGATCTGAGACTCATTCAGTAGGAGGAGAAGAGTATAGGTAAAACTGCCCCCATGATTCAGTTATCTCCATCTGACCCTGCCCTTGACACATGAAGATTATTACAATTCAAGATGAGATTTGGGTGGGGACACAGCCAAACCATATTAGAGGTCTAGTGAAAACTGCTAGGAAAGCAGAGATCTAGTCTGGTCTGGAAGGTCAGGGAAGGCCTTCCTAAAGATAGAGATGTTTAAGTTAACATCTGAAGGATGACGGTGATGGAGAAAAGGAGAGAAGAACATGTTAATTAGAGGAGACAGCCTTTCGATGTGAGATCATACTGCAGGAAAGCCAGTGTGATCCCAGGCAGAGGCTGGGGAGGAGAGAGGAAGAAGGGTAGCTGGGTAGACACAGCAGGGCCTACAGCTTGTTAAAGAGCGTGGGAAGCAATTGAAGAGGTATATGAAACTTCTGAGAAATATGACCGGATTTGCAGTTTTCAAAAGATTATTTGAGCTACAATGTGTAGAATGGAATGGAAGGAGAGAGAACAGATTAATAGAGGAGGAGGAGATAACCTGAGGCTTGAGTTCTTTTCATTGAATAACAGAATTAAACATCAGCAATTGGTGCAAGGCTGAGGTTGGCAAGAGCAAACTTTGAGCATAGAAAGAAGCCAGACTTCCTACTCTTAAGAATTTTATTGTGTTCCTTCATTCACTTCTTATTTATAAATTAATTTAGTTCACAGGAAATAAGGATTTAAAATTAATCAGTTTTGAAAAGGAGTTTAATTATAGATATTCAAGTTCAATATGACATGTGTGTTTTCCTGATTCCTGGGCAACCCCTCTGAGCAGTGTTGAGTGTGGGTTTGTGCTGTTTGCTGAGACTATCAGCCGTCTTTCTTCCATGGCCAGTCAGTCCTCTTTAGATCTTCTTGCTTGTCTTCTGTCTGCTGTTGATGTAATTGGTTGGCTGGGGGCTGGGTCCGAGAGGGGAAAGAAGCCCAGTGAGAGGGTGGCTTTCTCTCAGAGACTGGTGCTTCTTTTGATTTTCCAGGTCAAACCTAAAAGTTAATATTCAATCATTGTATAGGGTGGGGCATGGCCTTTAGGTTTCTATGAATTCTAGACTCAAACATGATTCTATTTACTATTTACAAAGCAAAAAACATAATGTATTGATCACTACTAATCACTACAGGTAATGTCCATCCAAGAGGGGTGCAGTCCCAGCGAGATACCTCATTATTGAAGCACACGTGCCGAGTAGATCTCTTTGATGACCCCTGCTACATTAATACACAGGCTCTTCAAAGTACACTTGGCTCTGCTGGAAATCAAAGCTCAGCCCAACCACTGGGGAGCCCTTGGCACTGCGGAAGTAAGTAGCTACTCACTGTCTGTATTCATTTCTTAGGGCTGTTGTAACAAATTACCACAAACAGAAATTTATTCTTTCTCAGTTCTGGAGGCCAGAAGTCCATAATCAAAGTGTCAGCATGGTTGGTTCCTTCCGGGACCTCTGGAGGAGAATCCATTTTATGCATCTCTCCTAGCTTCTGGTGGCTACTGGCAATTCATGATGTTCCTTGGCTTGTAGACACATCACTCTAATCTCTGCAACTGTCTTCATATTGACTGCCCCTGTGTCTCTATTTCTTCATCTCCCTTTTCTTCCTGTTACAGGACAATAGTCACTGGATTTAGGAGGAGATGAAATGATTGGATGAGATGAGACTAATCTCATCTCAAGATTGTTAATTTAATTACATCTGTAAAGACCCTTTTGCCAAATTAGGTCGTGTTCACAGGTACCAGGGATTAGGATTTGAATTTATCTTCTTTTTTTTTTTTTTTTTTTTTTTGAGGCAGGGTCTGACTCTGTCACCCAGGCTGGGGTACAATGGCATGATCACAGGTCACTGCAACCTCTGCCTCCTGAGCTCAAGCGATCCTCTCATCTCAACCTCTGGAGCAGCTGGGACTACAGGCACACAACACCATGCCCAGCTAATTTTTGTATTTTTTGTAAAGACAGGGTATCATCATGTTTGCCCAGGCTGGTCTCAAACTCCTGGGCCCAAGCCATCTGCCTGCCTCAGCCTCTCAAAGCATTTGGATTACAGGCACCACCATGCCCGGCCTTGAATTTATCTTTTTGAGGGTTACTGTTTAACTAATTGTACTATCTCGCATTTCAAGGAGGCTGTTTTCTTGGTCTCATTTTCAGGTGTTGAATTATCTTTCTTTACCTCTATCCTTCACCACAGTTAATATTGATTAGAGCTTTGTGGAGTTGTTTAGGGTTTCAAGGTTTGGAAATGTTGATTTTTGAATAATCCTTTCAAATACTTTAAATTTACTTCCAGCTTTTGATTTCTGCTGTGTACTTTTGCTGAAAGAAGGGCTGTCAAGGCCGGGAGATAATTTTGAATTTGTTTATTTGCATGAATCACAGTGGCTACTGTTTCTGTTAGGGATAGCATTAATTTTATTCATTTCAAAACCCCTTAATAAGTCATCTATAAAGCACTAAAATAAGTTGGCTTCTTTCTTCACCCATGTACTGTGGGTAAAACACAATAAGACAAACATCTTTCCTGTCAAATTACTATCAGGGGTAAATGCATAAACAGGAACATAAGTAAAAATAAAACAAGCCAAAAGTCTATAATCAATGGAAAAATAAACAAACAAAAAATGCTTTTCATAAAATATTGAAGCTTTGTTGTGTTCAGAGATTGGCATGCTGTCAAATTTGGTTTGAACCAGTCACTGAGAAGATCCTTTTAATAGTCCAGGAGATTTCTCCAGAACTCCCAAAGACAGCTTTCCAGCTAGTGTGGCTGCAATGCAAGACAAAATTGAAAAGATTTTGTTGAGCCTGGACCTCAGCAGACCGTCTTAACTGTCTAGATGAAGAACCAGGGGTCCTCATTGTCAGCCAGGTGACAAGTGGTCCCTGTTTATGCTGACTTTCTAAGATCACTCCTGACACCCTATCCAACCAAGCTGGAGTCTCTGGAAGCAGATGCTAAGATGAAGCTTGGCAGCAGGGTCTGTAACATGATCAATATCAGGAAGCAATGGAGAGGAAGTAGGATTGGCCGGAATGGGAGATGGGACTACAACGCAGGACTGACAAAGCCTCGGCCAACACCAAAAAGCCCATGTGGTCTGTCAGAGTTGTCCTACATTGGGCCCAAATGGCTGGCCCTATATAGCCCCATTTATCTCAGTCTTGGGATGTGGGCCACACCAGGAAGGTCAAACCCTGGCAGCTGAGGCAGAGCCAGAAGGGCTGGTTAGCTGCAGGCTGACTGCTGACACCTGGGGCAATGGTGCTTCCTTGAAGGGAGATTTGGGTAGTGCATCTCCGTGGCTACCACAGAGGACATCTTATGTGGCGGGTGATGAGATGTGAAACAAATTTAGATTTTTGCTGTTAAGCTTACTCATCTGTGCAATGGGCAATGTCCTATGTGGATAGGTAATGTTTGTTACAACTTTTTGGAAAAAAACCCTGTCTGGACCTTAGATTTTATAAGAGTATATTCTTGATACTTTTCATTTCATGGACTTTTCAGAGCCACACATATTATCAGAGAACTTATTTAGTGGGTGGCCCAAATTACGTGATTTGGAATATTCTTTGATTCACAACTCCAGTTCCTTTATAATTTAGTCTCCAAAGTTAAAATTATTCATAATCCAAGCAAAGGAACTTTGCCTTTTGTCATAGGCCATTCAATAATATGAAATGGCAAAATTAATACATAACAAAATTCCTGTCATTCATTGAAAATAAATAAAGTCTGCCTTGTCCAAAATTGTAATGTCAAAATGTATTTTCTCTGACTCTAGCCTTTTTTCCCCCACCTTTCTCCCTTTCCCTGCTTTGGTGGCAACATATTGAATAATTTAGGCCTTTGGTACGCTCTCCCTCTTTATTTCCTGTTAGGATTTAATGTACCATAGCCCTTCTGGGCTCCTTGCTGCCCTCTTGAGATTAAATTCAACATTGCTCCCTCCAAAACAAATCCACTCCAAAACCTTAAATTATGTTGATTTAAGAACATTTAATAAAGAGATGGAGTGAGGCTTCATGGCTTACCTGGTTAAAGCGCCTGTCTAGTAATAAAGAGATGGAGTGGGGATAGCTTTATACATACTTTTTAATAAAATGTCTTAACTTTACCTTTAACCTTCCCCCATAATGGATCCTTCTGTTTTCTTCCTTCCTCCCTTGAAAATCCTCTTTAGCTTCTTTAGACATATTTAGCCTCCCTTAGCCGGAAAAAAAAGCTTTTGATAATTCAGTATAACCAAACCAAACAAAAACACATCCAGAGTTACTAAATATCTCTCAGGCATGCTCATAGGGCTCCTCAGTTCATCCTGTCACACTATGAACAGAAAAAAGGTTCCGACACAGTCTCACCAAACATGGCACAAAGATACCATGAGTTCCGGTACTAGTTTTTATTTTGATTTATTGTTAGTTTCTGTCTCAGTTGCCATAACAAATACCGCCCCCCCCCCCCCCCCCCACCAAATGCTGTAGTGTAAAAAGGGCTGACATTTATTTATTTCACCTAAAAGCTCAAAGATTGGTGCCACGGGATTGGTAGGGGAGCTTTGTCATTCTCAACATCTGGCTTCCATCTCTGGTCCAAAGTGGCTGCTTGGGCCCTCATCATCACATTTGCATGCAGCTAGTGGGAAAGGAGAAAAGCAAGAGGAGCACATATATATTTCTTTAAAGGACATGACCAGAAGAGGCAGACATCATTTCTTTTTACCTGCCATTGGCAGACCATAGACATGTGGCCACACCTAGCTGCAAGGAAGGCTAGAAAAATTACTCTAGCTGGGTGCCTAGCTAAACTTAGGAGTTCTGTGATGTAATGAAAGGGAGGATAGATATTGGTAGATGACTAACTGTCTCTGCCACAGAACACCTATCTGCCACTCAAATATTCGTGAGCTTTTCTTTTCACATAAAACATATTTGCCCTCTCCCCAAGGAAGACATTGCAAGTACTTATACAATTACAGCATCTAAAATTAGATGAAGATCCTTATTATCTGCTAAGTTGTCTGCCACCCTCCATACCCCAAATTAATGGGGGAATAGGAATAAGATAATAGCAGTAGAAACTCACATTCTCAAAAGGGAGGAATGCAACAGCATGGGACAGCAGCCACTGGTCCACAGCGATGACCAAATCTGGCCAGGCTAGAGTTCTGAAGACTGAGCTGGAAGTGGAGAAAGCGATTTGCTTGGGTACTGGTTCGGCTTTATGAGAGGACTTTTGGTGTCCACTGTCATCTGTGGACCCAGACCATGCCATCTGGGTTGTTCCTGCCATTATTCTCCACGTGCACACTTAAAGTAGATATTGGAGAATGTGCCTTTCTCGGGGGCTTTGCCACTTTTACAGCCTATTTCCCACTGTGGTCATGAGAGATTCGAGTTTGCTTCAGGGGCCAGAAGCCGTGGACAAGAAGGGATTGTGATTTATTTGGCAATGTAGTTTCCTTGAAAACTTAGCAGCATTCCATTTTATTAGCTTAGAGGCAGTTCTGTATGAAGATTTCCACAATATTTCTCTGTTGTCTTTTTATTGCCCAAAACATCCATAGTGATATCCATTCTCTCTTTCCTGTTATTGGTAATTTTCTCCTTTTTACTTGATCAGTCCTCTTTCAGGTTTATTAATTTTATGGATCTTTCCAGTGTGCCCAGGTTTGGGTTTAATTTTCTCTGTTGTTTTTTGTTTTCTATTTCATTGATTTCCATTTTATCTTTATTATGTTTTCATTCTACTTGCTTTGGATTAAATTTTCGCTTTTTTATCCAACATCTATTTTTTAAAATATTGGCTTCATTGTTTTATTTTCACAATAAAATATTTATTCCCCTTGACCTTTATAGATTATGTGAAGTTGGAAATCTAACTTAATTTTATCCATGTTTGTCAATTTTCCAAACACTATTGATTGAGTAGTCTCCTCTTTTCCCTGATGCTACTTTCTATTATATCAAACTCTTCGTATATATGTGAATTTATTTCTGGGATCTTTATTATGTTTTTTCTATTAGGCCCCTTGCCTTTTCTCAACCAGCATCTTAATTACTATATACTAATTGCTACGCCCTAGTAACGTGTCTAACAGACATTTAATTCTTTCTTTACATTACAAATAATTCTTCTCTGGGTACTATCTGAACCTCTCTCTCATTTATGCTTAACATTTCATGTTAACATCTTTTTCTACCAAATTTTCAGATACTTTGTGTAAATGAACATATTTTTCCTCTCAATGCAAATACATTTTTATTTTAGAGTTTTCATACACCCAATAATCCATACTAATAAACAGTGTAGTCAATTATCATTATTCACAGATTCCATATTCGAGAATTAGATTACTTGCTAAAATTTAGTTGTAACTCCGAAATCAATACTCATAGTCCTTTTGTGTCATGTGTGGCCATGCACGGAGCAACAAAAATTTTCAGTCACCCAATATGCACATTCTCAGCTGATGTCAAACAAGACAACGTTCCACTTTCTTGTTTCAGCTCTCAGTTATAATAATCCCCTTGTATACCTCCTTATTTTACTCTCTATTTTAGAAATTTGTCTATATAAGCACACGATCTTCACTATTTTAAATTGCTCTATAGTATTGTATGAGTGCATCATGATTTACGTAATCAGTACCTTATTGAAGGACATACCAATTTTTCCAGTGCTTTGCTAAAATAATAATTAATACTATAAAAATTGTTTTACAGGTGCTTTTTAAAAATGGGATTCATCAGTGTGCCATCTTTACAGTTCATATTGGTTTCTTTAAATGTCTCATCCTTTCTTTCTCATTGAGATTACTTTCAATTATTTAATCCAGATTTTGCATGTTTTTCTCTTCCTTAAACCATATTTTCCCTTTTAGAGGTTTTGCCCGTTAGATCCATTTGGATGTGGATAGCCATATCTATACTGTGCTTTCTTTAAGGTCTGATTGTGAAAAATATGTCTTTAAGTGCCAATGGGAACTCCAAGATGATATGATTTACTTTCTTTCATAATTCCTATCACTTTTTTATGGTTTCAGTTAAATCTAGATTGGCCTTCCTTATTGCTTCCTTAACCTTCACTACTCCTTCTGAGAAAATATGATTATATCAATTCAACAATTTATTAAATATTATGCATAAATTATATATAAATAACCATATTTAGATTATAAGTATTATTGTCAATGTCAACTTATGCATTAGAAAAGGAGCAAGATAATGGATAATGTACCACAGTGTTAAGAGCAGTTTTATTTAGTGATGAGACCATAGGTAATTAATTTTATTTGTTTTTCTCTTTGCTAGATTTTAAAAAGCTAGTATGTGTAACTTTTAAAATTAAACAAAGTAAACAAATTGTCATCTATTCTGGCAGAATCAGATTTTCCGCAAATGTTTGGATGATTGAAATCTCCCAGTGGAGTACCTTGTCCTTCTGCTCATTTGGGAAACTGTTAGGAAAACATTGTCCATTTCCTCTGGTTGGCCCATGATCCGTTGCCTCTTTTCAAGATGATATAATGTCTGTTTTTCTATTGTTTTGTCTTTGTCCAAAAGCTCTTCACCATAATCTCAGAATAAACCAAAGCCATCACGCATTAAGATGTGTATACCCACACACAATGTGTGCATGCATTCCTCCCACACTCACACGCTTTTTCACACACACAAACACACATATAGCGACTCATTAGAAGTTATCCATTGTGCCTGAAAGCAGGCAGCACTAAGGCCAGTTACAAGTATTATTCATCAAATCTGCATACATTTTGTCAGGCTATTTCTGGCAACAATAGAAAGATTTGATTGTAGAAGAGAATGTTTCCAGCCATTAGATTTAGATGAATGATACTTTTTAAAAGATCTGTTTGTGAATACTGCATTATAACTGTGTGCAGAAAGAAGCCCTCAAGTAGGGACAAAACTGTAATGTATTGATAGAATTGAATTACGACTACAGGACACTGATTGACTACACCAGTGACTTCATGGGATGATCATGTGTAAATTGTAGTCATACAAACTCATAGTCAAGAGAATTTCTCATTTGCAAGACCCTTACCTAAGGACATATAAACACTTCTTTGAGTTTATGAAGATAAAGACTGGTTTCTATTTAAAAGACTCTTTGCGTTTAAAAACAAAACAAAACAAAACAAAATCTAGTTTCTATGATTATTTTCCTGGTAAATTTGCCTTATTAAACACGCAAGTTTCAGACATAAGAACCTGGTTTCAGACATAAGAGTTTTACGTTATTACTTTTGGAGAGGCTGAAGGCTGACCCAAATAAGGGATCTTTGTGGATACTACTGAAGTAAAGTGGCTAGATTCTACTAAAAGAAAGATTTTCACATCCAAGGCAAGGGCCTTAGAGTTTAGTAATTAAGAATCTAGGCTTTGGAGTCAGATGACCTTGTTTCAAATTTCAGATCTACAACTATTAGCAGTGTAAATTTAAGTCCCTGAACCTTCCTTTTTGTTTGTTTGAGGCACGGTCTCACTGTCGCCCAGGATGGAGTGCAGTGGTGCGATCTTGGCTCATTGCAACCTCTGCCTCCCTGGTTCAAGCGATTCTCTTGCCTCGGCCCCCCAGGTAGCTGGGACTACAGGCATGTGCCACTATGCCTGGCTTTTTTTTTTTTTTTTTTTTTTGTATTTTTTTGTATTTTTTGTAGAGACCGGGTTTCACCATGTTTCCCAGGCTGGTCTCGAACTCCTGAGCTCAGGTAATCCACCTGCCTCGGCCTCCCAAAGTGCTGGGATAACAGGCATGAGCCATCCTGTCCGGCCACCCTTTCTAAAGATTCATTTCCTTGCCTGTCTAATTGTGAGAGTTAAACAACATAATGTATGTAAAGCATTTAGCAGTTTCTATCATACTTGATAAATGAGAACTACGCAGTAACTATTACCACTATCATGAGTGTGGATAGTACTATAAACTGCTAATTGGAGGTCCCTTCCCATCCCCAGTGCTCTCAACTCTGGACAACACTTAGTAGGCAGTGCCTTGGGGAGCTGCCTTGGGTTATTCCTCCCTGATGATTTGTCTTCTTTTACCTCATCAACTCTCTTTGTCCAGGCAGGTGAATGATACAAACAACAAAGTGGTCCTTCAGTAGGAATGCTGTGAGGTTTAGCAAAGTTTTGAAGTTTTGGGTCAGAAGAATGACTAGACACACATTAGTAATTCAGTTTTAAAAAGGGGGGACAAGAGCTAAATGCTAAAAAGTGGGGATGGTCTAAAGTTATTATAGCTATTTTCAAAGCGTTTGGAAACGTTGTAGAAATTATTTGTAATCCAGGTACAGCATAAGCTTTTTTCTCTTTAACATGCAACCCCTGGGACATAAAGAGCCTCTCTCTGCAGTTATAAAAGCAGTTCTCGTGGGTCTGTTCCATTTCCCATCTGAAAGAAAAACTCCTGCACCTGGGCAAGGCTTCCCTGGTAACAGAAGCCAAAGGCAATGTTTGGATCTACCATTAAATTAAAGCCTGTTGGGAGTTCTGAAAACAAAAATCTCATTTCTTCCCCAAGCAGTATTATTTAAGCAATGCCTGGCACACAGTAGGACCTCAGGTTATATTTGCTGAGTGAATAAATGAATGAATGGATGGATGAAGTGGTAACTCGATGATGTCTCTCTTTGTGTTCTGACTTCAGAGGCACCAGAAACTGTTCAGCCGGGTGCCACAGCCCAGCCTGCCAGCTCACATTCTTTGCCACACATTAAGCAGCAGCTGTGGAGTGAAGAATGCTATCATGGCAAGCTGAGCAGGAAGGCGGCAGAGAGCCTCTTGGTAAAGGATGGGGACTTTTTGGTTCGAGAGAGTGCAACCTCCCCCGGCCAATATGTGCTGAGTGGACTACAGGGAGGCCAAGCAAAACATCTTCTTCTGGTGGATCCTGAAGGCAAGGTATCATTGACTTCTCATTAGAGGTTTCACAGGATGTTGTTCTATTAAGCATAACCTGAATCATTTCCAAAACCTGGTATTGAATAGTGCTCAAGGCTAAGTGTTTGCTTTTTCTGGAACCTTCCAGTTGGAGCAGGACATGCTAACTAGAGGGTAGTGGAGGGGTTAGAGTAGGAGGCCACCCTGGAGTATCAAGCAGAGGACAGACTCTTTCTGCCCTTTTCAGTTCAATTCAATGAATTAAATGAATACCTGCTATATTGAAGTAAAGGAATTTGCAACTGACTGTTGTTCAGTATCACATACAGAGTCCTTGCTCTCAGAGTGCTGATAATTTCATAAAACAGGTGCTTAAATAATTATAATGTAAAGCTGAATGAGATAAGAACGGTTCAACCAAAGCATTATGGTGTTTCTCAGAACAGAGAGATCGTTCTGGTTGAGGCAAACTGAGAAGGCTCCTTATAGGGTCCATCATGTAAAGCAAACCTTGAAAGAAGGCAAGATTTCAAAAGAGGGACATTTGGAGTATAGGGAGGGAACCATAGGTGCAGACAGAGTCATAGAATGGTATTAAGCCAAGAGAAGATGAATGACAGTAGCAAAGGATGCCTGTAGACAGAAAATTATCCTGGGAAAGGTACATTAGAGCCATCCATATGGGGCAGAAATGCCTAATTTGCCAGGCAGTGGGGAGGCATTGGCAGTTTTGAGACAAATGATGCAATCAAAGCCCATGTGAGTGGTGACATCAGCAAGATGGCAGAATAGGAAGTCCCAGCCCTCATTCCCCCAACAGAAACAAAGAATTAACAAACCTATATCGACCAAAATACCTTTATGAGAGCCACAGAATTCACTTCAAAAGTTGTAGTACCTCAGGTGAGCATAGAGCTGAAAACAGTCATGTTGAAACAGGTAAGAAGAACAATTTCACTTTATCTGCATCAACTCCTTCCCCACATCAGCATAGCTCAGTGTCAGGAAGGAATTCCATGTCTCATGACCTCTCCCTTGGGGGAATGGGGGAAAGAGAAGAGTAGAGCTTGCATGCCATGTTCTGGCTTTTCAGTGGGTTGCCTGAGGGACTGCTTTCTGTCTCATTTCACATAGAGTGCTCATGGTACTGCCATATTTTGGATGCCAGGAGCCACTGAGAACAAAGAAGAGCACAGGGTAGCTTGCTGCAGCTGGCACTCCTCACTAGAAATAGGAGAAAGTACACAACTTGAAGGTTCTCCTTCAGAAGGGAGGGAGGGGAGTGAAGTATGTCCAGAATTCCAACTTTTTGGAGGGATGCCTGATGAACCAGTTATCTGTCCTGCCGCTTGGGGCACTGAAAGGAAGCTGGCATACCTTGGATGCCTGTGACCACGGAGAACAGGGAAAGTGGGGTGGCTTGCTGCTATAGAACCAGAGAACTTGCAGTGCCACAGACATCAGAAGGAGCAAGAGGTTACAAGTTCCTGAAAAACTGGCAAACTTCTGTAATTGAAAAATTGAACACACAGGCCCAGAAAAGTCACATCCTCCCACAGAAGATTTTAGAGACCCCCAGGACCTCTATTTGGGCTGGTTGGTGTGATTCTTCCCTTGTATGATGCCAGTTTGTAAGGAAAAAGAGAGGTGGCCCAAACAAACAAACAAAATAAATCTATAGAAACAGATCCTAAAGAAACAGAGGCATATGAATTAACTGACAAAGAATTCAAAATAAGTGTGGTAAAGATGCTGTATGAGCTCAATAATACCATCCATGAACAAAGTCAGAATATCAACAGAGGGAAAGAAAATATAAAAAAGAGGCAGACAGAAATTTTGGACCTGAAGAATACAATAACTGAACTGAAAAACTCACTAGAGGGGTTCAACAGCAGACTTGATTAAGCAGAAGAAAAAAAGCAAACTCAAAGAGAAGTCATTGGAAATTCTTCAGAAAAAGGAACAACAACAACAACAGCAAAATTTTAAAAAGTGAAGAAAGCCTAAGGGATTTATGATATACTATCAAGCAGACCCATTTATGCATTATTGGATTTCAAAAAGGAGAAGAGAGTGAAGGAGAAGAAGGAGAGGAAAAGGGGGCAGAAAGCTTATTTAAAGAAATAACGTCTGAAATCTTCCCAAGTAAGGGATGAAAATGAACATCAGATTCAAGAAGACCAATGGACTCCAACTATGAGGAACCCAAAGACATTCACATCATGACACATTACAATCAAATTGTCAAAAACAGAGAATTTTGAAAGCAGCAAGAGACTCATTATGTACCAGAGAGCCTCCATAAGACTATCAGCACATTTATCATAACCCCCATAAGACTATCAGTGGGTTCAATGTATTCAAAATGCTAAAAGAAAAAGGACTGCTAACCAAGACTACTCATCCTTTCTTTTTTTTTTTTTTTTCCTTCTTTTGAGACCAGTTTCACTCTTGTCACCCAGGCTGGAGTGCAATGGCGCCATCTTGGTTCACTGCAACCTCTGCCTCCCAGGTTCAAGCGATTCTCCTGCCTCAGCCTCCCAAGTAGCTGGGATTACAGGTGCCCGCCGCCACACCTGGCTAATTTTTTGTATTTTGAGTAGAGACGGGGTTTTGTCATGTTGGCCAGGCTGGTCTTGAACTCCAGACCTCAGGTTATCCACCTGCCTCAGCCTCCCAAAGTGCTGGGATTATAGGCATGAGCCACCATGCCTGGCCAAACCCATCCTTTAAAAATAAAGGAGAAATACAGACTTTCTGAGATAAACAAAAGATGAGGAGTTTGTTACTACTAGATCTGCCTTACAAGAAATGCTAAAGTCCTTCAAGTTGAAACAAAAGGATACTAAACAGTAACATGAAAGTATATGAAAGTACAAAGCTTGCTGGTAAAGGTAAATATATAGAAAAATACAGAATACTGTAATATTGTAATGGCAGTGTGTAAATAATTCTGGTTATAGAAGTTAAAAGACAAAAGTATGAAAAATAAGTTGTGTATCACTTAACAATTGGGAAATGTTATGAGAAATACATTTCTAGATGGTTTTTTCATTCTGCAAACAGTTTTGAATATATGTACACAAACCTAGATAGTATAGCCTACTAACACATAGGCTATATGGCATAGCCTTTTGCTTGTAGGTTGCAAACCTGTACAGCATGTTAGTATACTGAATACTGTAGACAATTGTAACACAATGGTAAATATTTGTGTATGTAAACATAGAAAAGGTGCAGTGAAATAGGATATAAAAGATTTGAAATGTCACACCTATATAGAACATTTACTGTGAATGAAGCTTGCAGGACTGGAAATTGCTCCAGGTGAGCCAGTGAGTGAGTGGTGAGCGAATGTAGAGACCTAGGACATTACTGCACACTACTGCACACTTTATAAATACTATACACTTAGACCACACTAAGTTTATTTTTTAAAATTTTCTTTCTTCAATAATAAATTAACTTGAGTTTACTGTAATTTTTTTACTTTGTAAACATGTAAACATTTAAATTACTTTAATCTTTTGACTTTTTTGTAATAACACTTAGCTTAAAATATAGGTTATACGGCTGTACAAAAATATTTTTCTTTATATCCTTATTCTATATGGTTTTCCCTATTTTAAATTTTTTTATTTATATTTTTTACTTTTAAACTTTTTTGTTGTTAAAAATATAGACAGAAACACAGACATTAGGCTAGCGCTAGACAGGGGCAGGATCATCAATATCACTGTCTTCTATCTCCACATTTTATTCCACAGTCTTCAAGGGGCAATAACTTGCATGGAGTTGTCATCTCCTATGATAACAATGCCTTATTCTAGAATATCTCCTAAAGGACCTGCCTGAGTCTCTTGAGAAAGTGTCACTGTTTTCAGAAATATGACCATGCCAGTTTGCTTGTTTTGTTTCTTTTTTCATCATAGATTTGCTCGTATGCAGATAATGCATCATGAGCATTCTTTTCTATTAATGGAAACCTTTTGGTGTTGGGGGTCCATGTTTTTAGTCTTTTCAAGAAACTTGTTAAGGTCTGAAAAAGCTTCTGCTAAACTCTTTATTGTTAATTTTTGAGGGGATTCTTCTTCTTTTTCTTTGCCTGCACTTTCCTTTCCTTTTGCCTCCTCTTCAGCTATGCCTTCCTGTTTCAGTTCCAACAACTCATTAGTCAATTCTTTAGGACAATTGCCATTAGGCAACAGGAATTTTTCAGCTTCATTATAATCTTATGGGATCACCATTGTATATGCAGTCTGTTGTTAACCAAAATGTTATTATGCAGCAATAACTATATAACTATAAAATACATTAATGAATACACGAACTTTAAAAACGTAATTGGTGACATCAATAACATAAAATTGTGTGTGGAGAAATAACAGTGTAGAGTGTTTGTATGTGATTTAAGTTAAGTTATTATCAGTTTAAAATAGATTGTTATAGCTACGTTTTATGTCAGCCCCATGGTAACCACACAGAAAATACTTCTAGAAGATACACAAAACAAAATGATAAAGGAATTAAAGCCTACTCACTATGAAAAATCAATGAAACACAAAGGAAGACAGCAAGAAAGGAAAAACAGGACCAAAAAGAGCTTTAATTCAGAAAACAATTAATAGAATGGTAATAATTCTTCTCTAGTATTAACTACTTTAAATGTAAATATATTAAATTCTGTAATCAAAAAGCATAGAGTGACTGAATTGATTTAAAAAAAAAAAAACAACCAGATCCAACTACATGCTATCTATAAGAAACTCACTTTATTTTATTTTATTTATTTATTTTTTTTGAGATGGAGTCTTGCTGTATAGCCCAGGCTGGAGTGCAGTGGCACAATCTCAGCTCACTACAACCTCCGCCTCCTGGGTTCAAGTGATTCTCCTGCCTCAGCCTCCCGAGTAGCTGGGACAAGAGGGGTTTGCCACCATGCCCAGCTAATTTATATATTTTTAATGGAGACGAGGTTTCACCATGTCTGCTAGTCTGGTCTCAAACTCCTGACCTCAGGTGATCCACCTGCCTTGGCCTCCCAAAGTGTTGGGATTATAGGCATGAGCCACCACGCCTGGCAAGGACTCACTTTAGATTTAAGGACACACGTAGGTTGAAAGTGAAAGTTTAGAAAAAGATATTTCATGAAAATGATAACCAAAAGAGGGCAGGAGTGGTCATACTTATATCAAACAAAATAAACTTTAAGTCAAAATGTCAAAAGAGACCAAGAAGGACATGATATAATGTTAAAAGGATCAATTCTTCAGGAAGATATAATAATTATAAATATATATGCACATCAATGTACCCAAGTATATGAAGCAAACATTGACAGAACTAAAGGGGGAAATAGATAGCAAAACATTAATAGTAGGGAGATTAAACACCCCACTTTCCATAATGGATAGACCACCAGACAGATCAATGAGGAAAAAAAGAACTTGAACAACACTATAGATCTAACATACATATACAGAACATTCCATCCAACAGCAACAGAATACATATTCTTCTTAAGTACACACAAAACATTCTCCAGAATAGATCATGTTAGATAACAAGACAAATCTTGACAAATTTAAGAGGCTGACATCATGCCGAATATCAGTGGAATGAAACTAGAGGCAGAAGGAAAAGTGGTATTTCCACAGGCAATAAAAGGGACCCTGGAGAAGTGGCATTACATTAAACTAAAAAGCTTCTGCACAGCAAAGAAAACAGTCAGCTTAGTGAAAAGGCAACCTACAGAAAGAGAGAAACTATTTGCAAACAATGTATCTGATAAGGAGTTAATATCCAAAATATGTAAGGAACGCCTACAACTCGATAGCAAAAAAATAAAAGCAACCAATTAAAACATAGGCAAAGGACTTGAATGAATAGAGATTTCTCCAAAAAGACCAAAAAATGACCAACGGGTATATGAAAACATGCTCAACATCATTAATCATCAGGAAAATGCAAATCAAAACCACAGTGAGATAATACCTCACACTTGTTAAGATGGCCATTATTTTAAAAAAAGAGGAAGAAGATAACAGGTGTTTGCAAGGATGTGAAGAATTGGAGCCCCCGTGCACTATTGGTGGGTGTGTAAAATTGTGCAGCCTCTATGGAACACAGTTTGGAGGTTTCTCAAAAAATTAAAAATAAAACTACCATATGATCTAGCAACCTCACTTCTGGGTAATTATACAAAATAACCGAAAGCAGGATCTTGAAAAGATATTTGCACTCCCATGTTTATTGCAGCATTATTCACAATAGTCAAGAGGTGAAAACAAAGATCCACCAAAGAACTAATGGATAAAGAAAATATAGTATATCCATACAGTGGAACACTATAGAACAACCATAGAAAAGAAGGCAATCCTGTCCCATGCTATTATGTTCTCAAGGAAATGGGTAGTTGCTGTATGATGGGTAAAAGTTTCAGTCATTCATGCAAGATGAAAAAGTTCCAGAGATCTGCTGTATAACATTGTACTTAACAGTTAACAAGACTGTACTGTACACTTAAAAATCTGTTAAGTGTACAGTCTTGTTAACTGTTATATAACATATATATTGGCCAGTCGCGGTGGCTCACACCTGTAATCCCAGCACTTTGGGAGGCCGAGGCAGGAGGATCACGAGGTCTGGAGATTGAGACCATCCTGGCTAACACGGTGAAACCCCATCTCTACTAAAAATACAAAAAAGTAGCTGGGCGAGGTGGCGGGCATCTGTAGTCCCAGCTACTCGGGAGGCTGAGGCAGGAGAATGGCGTGAACCCGGGAGGCGGAGCTTGTGGTGAGCCAAGATGGTGCCACTGCACTCCAGCCTCCTGGGCAACAGAGCAAGACTCGTCTCAAAAATAAATAAATAAATAAAATGAATCCTTGACTAATTGAATTATATTATAAATACATATACATATATATCTGTTAAATACATGTATAACAGATCTCATGTTATATGTTTCTTACCACAAGGAAAAAATCTTGTGTGGGTGAGGTTACAAACACAAGTGTTTGCAGGGCTAGGCCAGTACTGTAAGTGAATAAAGCTGGGCAGGGGATAGAGCGAGCATAAGGTACAGTAAAAAAAGGCACATATCCTGTGTAAGGGGGCAGTCACCACTCAGCTCCAATCAATTGCTGTCATGCAGAGCAGAGGCCCAGTGCGACCAGATTTTTTTTTTTTCAAATAAGTCATAAAACCAGAGTTTTATAGGAACTCTCCCTATTTTTAATTCAAAATGGTTCAAACTCTCTGTGCATAACCCTCCCTCCCCCATCCTAGCCCCTAGCAAACTAAAGCGTATGGGGCATTCGGTCATAGTGGCCTGTTTACATAGGTCAGAGTGGCCTGTTTACAATCTCTGTACTTGAAAGATTAATTTGACACTTGTATACAGGATTGATTAAAGAGAACGGGAAAGACCAGGGACAGAGAAAGTAATTAGAGGCTTCTAGGTAAAAAGTAATGAAAGCCTGAGGCAAAATGGAGGCAGAAGAAATACAAAGAAGAAGGCAGAGTAACGTGGCATTAAGAACATAGAATGGCAGGATTGGTCAGCTGATCTGGTATGGGATGGGAATGAGATGAAAACCTCTTTGAGGTTTGGAGCCATTGGAGAGCAAATTGGTGCCATTGTGTCCTTTCCTGTAAATCCTTGAATGTGTATTTCCTAAGAACAGAGATATTCTCTTCCACAGTCATGGTACAAAGATCAAAATCAGGAAACTTAACATTTATACAATACTATTATCTAAGTCATAGTCCATATTCAAATTGTGTTAATTATTCCAGTAATTACGCATGATTTTAATATGACAAAAACCAACATCTGGACAGAACTCCAAGAATCCCTTGTAGGAGAACTAGCAGAAATACATAACAAGGTGCTGCCTTGTTGCATATCTTCCCTTTCCTGGATGGTTACTAGCCACCCTCCAAACAGGAGCACATATATAACCAGGCCACCAAACTGGTGGAGCCACAATGGACAGTAATGTACGTCTTCTGTCTATGCATAGGGCACTAGGAAGGGAATTCCATAGAAGGCATGCCATAAGAAAATTGAATTTCTTTGGCATACAGACAGTAAGTTCCATGCAACAAATATCTGTGAATCAGCTACTATGAAGTCTGTGGGAAGGAGACATGAATGTCTATTAGAAAGGTCTGAGGAGGCTTCTTGGAGAAGACAGGAATGCTGAGCCTCCAAAGAGAGGCAGGAGGTAGGACTTCTCCAGAAAGGCCTGCTTCCGACAGGGACAAGGTGATATGGAAGCACTGTGGTTAACAGAAGATAATTACAATCCTGGAATTCATGCTTGTATGCAAACCAGTTAAATAGTCATAGAGATAGTAACACAGAATATACCAAGCGATAATACTGCAAAGAGGCTGATTGCAAATTTGGATTGGGTGACAAGTGCCTACCATTTTCCTAACCTATTGGAATGGTCGCTTTACAATGGTAATGAGGAATGAGGAAATCGTTGACCAGGGAATACAGAGTCAACTATTTAAAAGCACCTTTTCTCCTAGCCCTTTGGGAGGCCAAGGTGGGCATTTGAGCTCAGGAGTTTGAGACTAACCTGGGCAACATGGTGAAACGCCACCTCTACTAAAATACAAAAAAATTAGCCAGGCATGGTGGCACGTGCCTGTAGTCCCAGTTACTCGGGCTGAGGCACTAGAATTGCTTGAACCCAGGAGGCGGAGGTTGCAGTGAGTCGAGATCGTGCCACTACAGTGCAGCCTGGGCGACAGAGTGAGACTGTCTCCACAAAAAAAAAAGAAAAAAAAAAAAAAAAGGACCTTTTCTTCAGCAAAGTATCTACTTTAGGGATATATCTGGCATTTCCCCCCTGATTGTTTATATCTTTCAGGAGAACTACTATAATTTAACCTAAATATATTTGTACTTCTTTTTCAAGGTGAGGACCAAGGATCATGTATTTGATAACGTCGGCCACCTTATCAGATACCATATGGATAACAGTTTGCCAATCATCTCTTCTGGAAGTGAAGTAAGCCTTAAACAACCAGTGAGAAAAGATAATAATCCAGCACTTTTGCATTCCAACAAATGACAGTATTGAAGCACCGTCACACTGATATTTCAAGAAACCCCATTTTGTATTAGGACACAAAGATAATTGAAACTTTGTTTGTAGATAAAATAGAGCACAAACTGTCAAGTGCATCTTTCCGAGACCATCATGGACCAGGTCCTCTATCAAATGAAGAACTACCAAAAATTGATCTTCAGTAATGAAAATCAGAAAAGAGGAAGAGGGTTGGTCATTTTAAAAGAAATTATATGTATGCACGGATGTCACTTTTTAAGGCCATATTGCATTGATCACAAGCTAAAAGCACAACTAAAATTTCACATGCTAACGACAACTTGAATGAACTGCTGGGGCAGTGGTATGTGCCTTTCAACTTGATAATTTGGGGACATTTTCATATTGGGAGATTAATTCTAAGTATCTTCATGTTCTATGACTACAGAACCATTTGCCAAAAAAAAAAAAAAAAAAAGCTTTTCTTGCTACAAAAAATAAGCATTTTTCTTGAGCCTTATTGACTTTATTACATTTTCTGTTTAGTAGCGTTTTTCACTGCAATGTTAAAATAAATATGACATTGAATTTGAACTGTGTGGATGTCAGTGGAATCAAATCAAAAGCCACTCACGTGGCTGTCTGTTTCATTGGACCGTCCCATTTGCTGGTTAAAAGGATTGGGGCCCAAATTCTCTGGCCTAGCATTTCTCAGTGTTTGCTATTCAGACTGTTCAGATACAGCATGTGACAAGCTGAAGAGGCCAAATCTATCAGTCATTTCTGATTGCATTATATTCTTCCCCTCTTCCTGCTATAACAAAACAAAACAAAACAAAACAAAAAACAAAAAAACAAAAAAAACCTCATGAGTGCTTGGATTTAAAAGATGGCAAACAAAACCAGTATTCTTCATATTTACTATTCAAATTGGTTTCATTCTTAGTAAAAGTACAGAATTTATTTGAAATTATAGGAAAATTTCTTCTTGATTGGCTGACACTGAATCATAGTTTCTCACCTACATACATCCTTAGCACCTTGTATACATATGATCAGACAAAATGCAGAAAGAAAAAAAAACATATTGAATGAAGCACTTGGAAAGATTTGCCACATGTAGACCAACTGATAAACTAACAGAGTGATTAAGCATGGTGTACAGAAAAGCATGACGCTGAGGCTTATCAGTGTTACCTTCAGCAAGTTGCTGAATCTGTTTGGTTTCCAGTTTCCTTGGCAATAAAATGAGCTAAATGGGGTAGGGGAATTTGGAGGACTACTTCAGTCCTAACTTAGTACAAGTCTCTACAAAGCAAGTTTTTCATTTGTTCAAGGTCGTTATTGATAACCAGTCTGTACAGTTAAGGTAAAAAATTAAGCTTTTCTTCTATAGTCTGTGTCCATACTCACAGAATGAATGGCACACCTGAGATCAACATTCACAAAATTGAGACTCCAAACCATTTGGTCTAAAACATTGAAACTTTGGAATAATATAGGGAATGATGATAAAAGTGGATTTGGTTTGAGTAGCAGAAAACTACTTCTGTCCTTTTCTTGCCTTTGCAAGAAAAATGGTTTTTTTTTTTGGTGTGTTTTTTGTCTGTTTTAAAAAATCTTGAGTTATCTGGATATTGCCTTAACTCCATTTCATTTTGGCTATGTAGATACAACTTAGTCTTTGTGATTGTGATATATTTGCTAAGTTTTAAATAAAACTTCTTTTGGATAGAAATCATTAGAAACCAAGCATACTCTAATATTTTACTGTAAAGGCTTATGATTTTTATTTCTACTGCCATTAACTTTTTAGATGGATTTGTTTCCTCTTATACAACTAGAATTAATGTACTTTTCACCAATTTTCCATATACCTTAGGTCTTGATCATTTGTCCTTAAAAAGGGGATCAGCATGGGTATAGACATTAGAAATGTATGGGTAGTCTAACCACTTTTATCCGACACAGAGCAGGGCTGTGGTCTCAGTCTAGCTGAGCAGAGTATTAACTTGGTAGCAAGAGTTCCTGATACAAATAGATGCAATGACTGTAAATGGTGTCAGCAGTACACATGGATAATCAGTATTTGACTGTAATAGTATAGTAGTTAAATACGGTACTTAAAAATACCACAGACACAGTTAAAACAAAAGGAAACAATAAAAGGAATGTCTGCATGCTATTTTAATCTCACATTCTTTATCTGTCTTAAAGTGGAAATCCATTTGCCTACAAATACCTGTAAATGACTTTAAAAAATAAATGATTATTGCTTTGTGACAATTGACAGAATATGTCTGATGTTTGGGATTTGGAAACTGTCATTTGTAAAATGTATCAGGGAAACACATTGATTCAATCAAACTGGATAATTCAAGGTGAGTTTTATAAAGAGACTATTTACAAAGGTGTGGACAGAGTTTAGGGAAATCAGGAGGGAGAATGCAGTGCCCTGGGGCCAATTAAGGAAAAAAGGGAAAGAACAGCTGACCGAATCTGGAGAGGGAGCTGTGTGCAAGGGCTGCCTTTTAGGAGCTGTGCCCTGTAGTGGAGGAATGCAGTCAGCCCTGCTGACTCAACTAAGAGGCAGTGAGGGATATTAATAACCCAACATTCTTCTGTTCCCCCTATTTCCTGCTGGCATTGTCCACTGGCCCAAGCAACTTGAAGACAGAGAGCAAGGGAGCTCCTTGATGCAGTTCTGGAGGTCAGCCTCCTGGGAACAGAGGGGATGGAAAAGACTAGAGGGGGAGATCTGGAAGGGCAAATAAATGGAGTACATCCAGCACAGAGGACTTTGAAGAGAGTCAAGCTTCTAAAAGCATTAGAGTGGCTTTGGGTTAGCCAGGAAGGCAAAGCTAATTTGCAGAGAAATAAGTACAGATTTTCAGGTAACCATAAATGAATTACAGCAAAAATGTCAACTTGTTATTATTATTAAAACTCAAGCTGTATTTTGAAGCATTGGTTATTTCGCTCAAGAACAACTTCAAATGCATTTCAATCTTACAGAGATCCTTTTAATCCCACCTTCATGTTTCTTGCAATTCCTTCTACTAATTTTGCCATTTTATTACTTGTAATTATATATGGAAAAGTAACAAACCTGACCCTGTTACCTTTTATGATTGGAATTATAGACCGACAAAAATTATAATATGAAATCACTATGTCAAACATATGTGAAATATACCATCTGCATCTGTGGAAAATATTTAAATATCGACATATTCGTGTTCCAAATGAATTGTCTGTAGTTTGCCATAGTCTTATTAATGGGACAAGTGGTTTTAGTCTGTGAATGAAAGAGAATTTATCATTACAGACTCTGAAAACATCAAAAGAATAATAGGGGAATGCCACACACAGTTCTACACATATAAATTTGACAACAACTTAGATGAAATAGACCAATGAAATAGACCAATTCCTCAAAAAGTACAAACTACCGCAATTTAGCCAATTTGCAGTTGATCATTTGAATAACTTTATAACTATTATGAAAACTGAATTCACAATTACCTCCCCAAAAGAAATTCCAGGTTCAGATGTTTCATTGGAGAATTCTATCATTTGAAGAAATAACATTAATACTATACAATTGCTTCCAGAAAATTGAAGTGAAGGAAATACTTCTCTATTCATATTTTGAAGGTAAAATTACTCTGACATCAAAACTGACAAAAACAGCAAAAAAAAAAAAAGAAAACTACTGATGAAATCTCTATGAATATGATAAAAAATCATTAACAAAATATTATCAAGGAGTATTCCCCAATATATAAAAAGAATTATGTACCATAATATGACTAATTAAGGTTAATTCCAGGAATACAAGGCTAGTTCAATGTTTGAAAATCAATCACTGTAATCCACTATATTAAGAAGCTAAAGAAGAAAAACCACATGATATCAATTGGTGCCGAAAATGCATTTGATGCAGTTCAACATCAATTTATGATAAAAATTCTTAGTAAACTAAAAATAAAGACCATCTACAGAGGCCATGCTTGGTGGTTCACACCCATAATCCCAACACTTTGGGAGGCCAAGGCAGGCAGTCGCTTGAGCTCAGGAGTTTGAGACCAGCCTGGGCAGCATGGCAGAACCCCATCTCTACAGAAAATTTTAAAAATATTAGCTGGGTGTATTGGTATGCACCTGTAGTCCTAGCTACTCAAGAGGCAGAGGTGGGAGGATCACTTGAGCCTGGGAGGCCAAGACTGCAGTGAGCCATAGCTGTGCCCTGGCACTCCAGCCTGGACAATAAAGTGAGACCTTGTCTTAAAAAAAAAATCTACAAAGAAACTACAGCTAACTAAAATTATACTTAAAATCATGGCCTGAGTCATTTCCTTCTAAAATCAGGAGCAAAGCAATGATATCTATTATCACTATTCTTGTGAATATAGTACTGGAAGTTCTAGCCAGTGCAATAAGACAGGAAAAGGAAATAAAAGGTATACAGATCAGAAAAGAAGAAATAAAACTGTCCCTATTTGCAGATAACATGATTGTTTATGTGCAAAATTCCAAGGATCTACAAAAACCCTCAAAATCCCCAAATTCAAAAAATGACCAAAAAATCCCTCCTAGAACTAAGTTCAGCAAAGCTTAGAGGATACAAGATAAACATACAAAATTAAATTGCATTTCTATATATTAACAATGAACATATAGACACAAAATTAAAAATGTAATACTATTTACAGCTGCTAAAAAGGACATGCATGTAAACCTAACAAAATATGTACAAGACGCACACTGCAAATGACAGAATGCTGATGAAGGAAATCAAAGAAGATCTAATAAATGGAGAGCATACTGTGTTCATACATTACAAACTTCAATATAAGAAAGATGTCAACTTCCCCAAATTGATACACAGACTTCCTGTCAAACTTTCAGCAAGATTTTTGTAAATATAGATTATTCTAAAATGTATGTGGAAAGGCAGAGGAAATAGAATAGCTAAAACAATTTTAAAAAAGAACAAGGTGGGAGGAGTCATCTGATTTTAAGACATTATATCATTTTAAAGACTGTATTGATGTTGGTGGAGGAATAGATACATAGGTTAATGGAACAAGATGGAGGACCCAGAAGCAGACCACTCAAATATGTCCAACTGATTTTTGACAAAGATGCAAAGCAACTCAATAGATAAAGGCTAGCCATTTCAACAAACGGTGCTTGTGATAGCTAATACTGAGTGTCAACGTGATTGGATTGAAGGATGAAAACTACCTCAGACCCCCGTGTGTACTCTAGTCCAATAAGCCATAGTACATAGAAACACAATGGAAAATAATATTTTTACATTTAAAAGCTGTTTCACACAATCTCTCTTTTGTTTTGCTTTTTTTGGCCACAATCCTGAGAAGTGGGTATTATCATCCCAATTTTCAGGTAAGGACTTTGAGGCTTTTGAGTGCTAAATTGTTATGGACAATGCTAGTAGATAGGAGAGCTGGGACTTGAACTCAGATCTTCTTACTCTAAGTTCTGTGTTCCTTTGAGGATAGTATTCCTTGATGATAGCACTTTGGATAGCACTCCTGTGGTGGCATTGCTTTGACCTGATAGCTTTGACACCAAAAAGGAGGAAAAAGGAGAAATGATGGTTTAGCTTTACTTTTATAAATGCTTGTTAGTGGGAGGGACCCCATCTCATCAATAATGCGACATTTTCCCTTGAAATGTCTCACCCAGCTCATAGGTGTGCCTATTTAAAACATGCAAGGCAAACATGGAGCAAACGTTTCACAAATAACCTTTCGTCCCGCATTTGAGATCTTTGGCAGTTTTACTTTCTTCCCCCACATTTGCCTTTGTTATCCCAGAATGCCTCTGTCTGCTTGTGTTTCTTCAGATGTGCACACCATTACCTGACCTCTGTAGAATGCCTTTCCTATTCTCCCAGGCTTAAAGCTCTTCTATGGACTACCTCCTTCCTGCCTTCTTCTCCAGACTTACCTCTAAATTTAAGATTCCTGCACTTTTGCTGGTCTGGCCTTCAGATTTCACTCATGCCAATCAACTGGCCTGTTGAGCTCTCTCCTTCTCTTCTTCCTCGAACCTGCCTTGATAGATTCATCCCTAGGTGTTCACTTTCCCTAGAATTATTGCCTATTCTTACTACACTTAGTAAACATTTTTTGTTATTATTTATCTTTCTATGTAAGGACCTTGTAACTCAAAGTGTTGGTACCTTGAGCATAGGAGTCCTACCCTGCACCTAGGCTGGTACTTAAACAGGATACGTGGTCAAAGAAAATTTAGTCGAATATATTCTTAACTCCACTAAAAACCATTTTTAGAGGCATGGCAAGATGGGAGGTTGATTTATTCTTTATTTTCCCTCTTTGTCACATATATACTAGGTTCACTAAAGTATTTTGTATGTAGTGATGAGCTCTGGGTTTGGAGATAAAGGACCTGGTTTCAAATTCTGTCTGCCTTGTATTAGCTGTGTAGCCTTGGACAAGTCACTTAATTTATTTTTATGTAAGTTTCTTCAACTGGAAAATGGGGTAGGAATACCTAGGCCCCCCACAGTGTTGTAGTGAGAACCGAATGAGATAATGCTTGTGAAATAATTTACCAATCTGTAAAGCACTGTGTAAAGGATTATAAACACTGCCTCCTCCTGTGTTTCCCCTGACACCTTTTATGCTTTCATCCTTCTAAGAAGCAGTTGTTTGTGCATGGGGATCACCTGGCATTCTTGTTGCAGCACTCCATTATAACCCTCAGCACAGAAGTTTGCCAATCGACTTCAGTGGGATGTGAGAAGTGAAAAGTGCATTTGATTCTCACTAAGATGCCTTGGGTCAGATTCAACAAATGCCATTTACTTGAATGCCTTTTATTTGCTTTTACTGCCCGCCCCCCCCTGCCAAAATCTTCATCTATTTGTTCATTTGTTCATTTATTCATTTTCTCATTTAATGTAATTGTTTTGAGTGCCTACCAGGGTCATGAAACATGTTAGATACCCAAGAAGTAAAGTGAGTACTTCAAGATATTCACATTGTACTGAGTGTAACAGACACACAAAAACTTATAGTGGATATAAGAACTATAATAGGATATATAGGATACACTGTGTACAGAGGTAGGAAAGATCATTTCTGCGAAGTGAGGGAGTGTGTATCATGAAAGGCTTCAAAAGAGGTGATAGTCTATCTCGAAAACTAAGTAGGAGGAGAACTAAGGTAGAGGCAATGCAGGTGAAAGAAACAGCTTTCACAGCAGGTGAAACAAAAAAAGCGCTCTGGGAACCAT